TCCAGAAGAGCGGAACTGATCCATCTGACCCAGGCTCTCAGATGGGAAGAGACGTCCACCACAAGTTTCCCCTTGTTCCTGTCCAGTGTTACTGTCTGGGTGAAGCAAGCAGGTGGCCAAAGGGGGCCGGAAACCGGCTTTGGGTTTCTACCTTTCTAGGGAAAGGTCCTACCCAGTGGCTCTTCCCACTCCTACAGCTGAGAAGGCAGCTGTCACCACACACTGGATCCACCACAACTGAGTCAAGCAAGCAGGAGCCACAGCTGCCGCCCCCTAGTGGGTTCCTAGACCAGGGACCAGGGACCAGGGACCAGGTTTCTTCGTGACCCAGGCCCTTCTGCTCCCTGCCCCTCTGCTTCCTCTGTAGACCAGGCTGGCCTCAAACTCACAGAGATCCTCCTGCCTCTGCCTCCCGAGTGCTGGGATTAAAGGCATGCGCCACCAATGCCCAGCTACCTCTACCTCTTGATTGCTGAGGTTAAAGACAACCCTGCCATTATCCAGCTAGTCACTTAGCCAGAGGACCTCGGGCTGGCCAGGGTACTGCCTGAGTGCATCCTGCCAGGTGACAGGGAGCAGACCAGCATAAGACCTGAATCCTAACATTAAGTAGACTTACAAGTTTCCATTTATGAGCTAGGCAGGGTGGGGCACACACCTTTAACCCCAACACTTGGGAGGCAGAGGCAGGCAGAGCTCTATGAGTTCGAGGCCAGTCTAGTACACAGAGTGAGTTCCAGGACAGCCAGGGCTACACAGAGAAATCCTGTCTCAAAAACAAAACAAAGTTTGTTTCTGTTTCTGAATTTAAACAAGAGAGTTCCTTGCAGACATGGCCCTATAGAATTAGAGAGGCTCAGATTTACCACTAGTGAGATGAAGGAAACTATGTCTGGCTTTAGGAAAAACCTGTTGCTTCTATGCTAATCAATAGGAATACCAGAAAATCTTGAGTTGGTTTGGGGAAAACCTCAAAAGGAAGGAAGAGACAGTTACATATATCAACTAATTGGTGCCAGTCTCTGTTCTCTGTTCCCCTGGTCTCCTGGCTAAATACTCTGCCATCAGCACTGGCTGGGCCTTTAATTCTCATTTGGGTGGGATTAACAGTAGTGCCCGGCTTCTTAAGCTATAGGACCAGTTATGTATTAGTTCAGTAAACTTAATGGTCCTTAGGACCAACTACGCCTCTTCAGAGCAGGAGTCCAGGATCTGACTCATTCACTAAGACCAGGGGGGAATGGAACAGAGCCCCAGACCTTAGCACAACTGACTCCATGATGGGAGGACCATTCGGGCTGTAAAACTCAGCAAGTAGACATCACCAGCTGCCAAAATGAAAACAAAGACCTGATCCATCAAAGCCCATATTTCTGGGAAAGTCTCTAATGCACTAACCTTGCTTTTTGGCTTCTGTCATTCTGATTCTGGCTAATTGTTCTTGTTAGCTGAAGTGTGTTAGCCCAGGACAGGGTTGTTGTGCTTAGAAGCTCACCCTGAGAGAGGCTTGGGGCTACACTGGGATCCCAAACACCCAGTGTAGTTGCTGGCCATCTAATAAAGACTTTCTATTGGCTTAAACCCATTTTTGAGCAGTCTTCCCTGGTGGAGACTCCCCAGTGGCCTAGAGGCCAGCATGCACTTTGCTATGCTGATAGGTGCCACAGGTGGTCATATGTCCCTTCTGCCAAAAGTAAGGGAAAGGAGTCCTTCTGGCATATGGGAGCCAGCTTCACAAGACCCTGAGGAGTGCTGGCTTTACAGAACTGACAAAAACCCTCCGATAGTCCAGTTGAGCTCATCTCTGGATGTCTGGACCGCCTTTTGGAGTTTCCTTTGGACCCGACACCCTGGAGACAGGAACTTGCATCCACAGCATCCCCAAGGAGACCGAGGAACTTGTCAGCGACAAATGCCCCAAATCACAAAAGAGAGGTGTCCCTTTCCATGTGACTGGGTGCCCAGTGAGGCGAGAGAAACTCAGAGACTTACTCACAGGGCTTTTCTGGCAGTAGTAGGCTCCCGGGGTCTCCGGGACAGAGCAGAGGTGGCACTTAACCAATGTAGACAAGGACAGATGAGTGGTTAGTGCAGGTGGAGAAGAAAGTGAAGAGGTAGACCCTAAAATTTAGAGGTGAACTTGGTGGGTGTCAGGAGGCAGCGGAATGGAATGGTCCACACCTCCAGAGAGTAACAGCAGCAGCTTGGTTCAGCTAGGAGGGGCCAAGCCCTAGGGAAAGGGGCCATTTGTACCCTCTTGGGTGTTTGGCACCAGGAGACGAAGTTAAGAAACTGCCCACGTGGCTGCTACATTATCAGGGAAGGTTTTCTATTGTGGACATGAGAGAGAGAACAGCCAGAGGCGTCCAGAGAGTCCAGAGCAAAGGAAACAGAAACAGGCTGTGCAGTGGAAATCGGGGGTTCTAAAGGGGTGGTGATCTGATGAGAAGGGCCAAGGTTCTGGGTAGGGGATTTGAAATGTACAACAGTACTTGTGTGAATTGGGACGGAGGGAGCCCCAAGGCCAGCATGGGCTTCAATATGTAGCCACGGGTCCTTGTGGATGGACAGCCTTATGTCCCTTCTGCCAGAGGTAAGGGAAATGTCTCCTTTTGGCAGAAGGGAACCGGTTTCACAAGTTCCTGAGGAATGCTGGCTTTTACCCTCCTGTAGCCCAGGCTGAGCTGGGCCTAGACTTGGACAAGAGTCAGTGGGCCTGCCCCCCTAGGGCTAAGGGATATGAGGTAGCCTTTGGACTTGACAGGGGCAACCTTTAAATGTTTGATTTTGCCGGGCGGTGGCGAAAGTCTTCAGTCCCAGCACTGAAGGCAGAGGCAGAGGCTGGTGGATCTCTGAGTTTAAGACCAGCCTGGTCTACAGAGTGAGTTCCAGGACAGCCAGGGCTACACAGAGAAACCGTCACAAAAAACCAACCTCCCCACCCCCCCTCCCCACTCCCCTCCTCTCCAAAAGTTTGATCTTAAGATACTATGTGAATAAAAAGAAAAAGGAAAAGAAAACAGAGATACTAAGTGAAGGGTGGGACATGCTGGCATTTGCCTTTAATCCCAGCACCAGGCTGCTTTTGTGTTGTTTTCTGATTTTATTTCATTTCTTGAGACAGAAACTCACCATGTAGCTCTGGCTGTCCTGGAACTCACTATGTAGACCAGGCTGTCCTCAAATTCAGAGATTCACCTGCCTGTCCATGCCTCCCAAGTGCTGGGATGAAAGGTGTCCCACCATGTCCTGCTTCTCGTTTATTTTGACCAGGTCTCCTGTGTCCCAGGCTGGCCTTGAGCTTTTGGTTCTCCTACCCCCAATTCCTCAGGGTTGGGGGTGGAGGGCCTTCGTCGTAGCTGGTTTTTGCAGTGCAAACTATTATTAAACCCAGGGTTTTCTAAAAACCCACAAAACTCATTACATTCATTACAAGGATAAAGGATTAGACAACAGGACAAGGGCCACTTGAGAAATATTTGTAGCTTTTGTCCCAAGATAAAATCCAGAGCACAGTAGTTTGCATACTTAATCCAAGTGCTCAGGAGGCCGAGATAGGGCTGGCTTTGTAGGAGGAGGAGGCAGGAGCCTGTGTGCTCACAGGTAGGCTCTTGGGAAACCTAAAATATTAAGTACACATGGTTTTACCACATACCTTCTTCTGCCAAGAAGGTTGCAGTGGACCATTTCCTAGTCTGGTAAACTTTGCACTATCTGTGTGGCTAAGGCGTTTCTCGTACTGGATGCTCCTCAGTATCATAAATCTGTTTTTCTCAGTCAGTCTATAGAACCTAATTTTACAGATTTTACAAGGAGTTTCAGCGTTTGTATCCAATCTGATTAAAATTGCCCCCCCCCCAAGTCAGGTGGTTCGTTCGTTTGTTTTTAGGATTTTTTAAAAAAGATTTTATTTATTATGTATACAGTCTTCTGCCTACATTCCAGCAGAGGTCACCATATCTCATTACAGATGGTTGTGAGCCACCATGTGGTTGCCGGGAATTGAACTCAGGACCTCTGGAAGAGCAGTCAGTGCTCTCAACCTCTGAGCCATCTCTCCAGCCCTCTATTTTTAGGATTTTTAAAATTTTTTAATTTTCATTTAATTACTTAGATGGTTTGCTGGTTTATTTATTGGTTTTTCAAGACAGGGTTTCTCTGTGTAGCTCTATGTAGACGAGGCTGGTCTCAAACTCACAGAGATCCACCTGCCTCTGCCTCCAGAGTGCTGGGATTAAAGGTGCACACCACCAATGCCGGGCTAAGGTCTCACCTATGTAAACAGACCCACCTTAGACTCTAAGCAATCCTGATCCTCCTGCCCTCGAATCCTGCAGGCTTGGATTTCAGACATTCAGCACTCAGCCTGGTTAGGTTTTAGTCTCCCAATCTGAGGGTCAGCCACAGAAACCCAGCATGAGGAAAACCAGCCTGCATAGGTTAGAGACACCCTTCCCTTCTCCTTCACCTGGGTTGGGAGTTACAGCAGCTTGCTCCGGTAGGAGGGACCACGACCACCCGACCTGTGGTTACAGTGGCTTGCTACTTCTCCATCAGGAGAGACCCTAGACTGACACTTGGACCTAGAGCCTGGGATGCCGGTCCATGGGATGCCCGTCCACTCCAGCTGAAGTGTCCGTAATGGGTCTTCTGTTTCCACGGCAGACTTATATATGGCAAAGTTGCACAGGACTTATTGATCATATAGTGTGACCATTCACACCAGGTTAGGTGATTAAATAATTGCCATGGCTAGAGAAACAGCTCAGCCAGGTGAAGGTTGAATGTGGGAGCGCGTGCACACATAGTAAAACTTAGAAAGAAATGAAAAATTGCCCCCAAACTCAAACGCCTTTCTCTCCTTTCTACCTGGGTTCTGGAATTGGGGCCAAACCCAGCAGGTGCAGGGTCATCACAGCCACGCCCTTTAATCCTGGCAGTGCTGAGCCAGGCCTTCGGTCCCTGCACTGAGCCAGCCAGCTGTCGAGAAGTGGGTGAGGATGGCAGAGGAGGAGGGGGGTGTGGAGGAGGGGGATGTGTTCCTAGCCTTCGCCCAGGGTCCCACTCCTCCTCGGGGCCCCCTGCGGCGTGCTTTGGACAAGATCTTCCTCACCTTCTTGGTCCTCTTCCTGACACTGCTGATGCTGGAGGCTGCTTACAAACTGCTGTGGCCCCTGCCATGGGCGACGTGGTGGGACCAGCTCCTGGAGACACCTGAGGAGGAAGAGGCGCTGGAACTGTAGCAGCTCCCGATAAGACATCCTGTCCTTGCTACCGAGGTGAGGACGCCGACTGCAGAGAGGTGGGGTGGGAGGCACAGCTTAGGCCAGCGCTCTAACATTATTTGTCTGTGTATATGTGTGTGTGTGTGTTTGCTATGTGCACAGGAGTGCAGATGGCCACAGAGTCTAGAGGGTGTTGGATCCCCTGGGGCTGGAGTTACAGTGGGAACTGTGAACCAAGCTCATATCCTCTGCAACACACAATCACACACCACACACACACTACACATACACACAATATACACACCACACACACAATCACACACACACAATCACACCACACACACATACACCACACACACACACACACACCACACACACACAATACACACCCCACACACACACACCACACACACACACATACACCACACACACACAATATACACACCACACACATACACCACACACACACACACACAAAATCACACACACACAATATACACACCACACACACATACACACACACACACACATACACACCACACACACATACACACACACACACACATACACACCACACACACATACACACCACACACATCACACACACACACCCTCCCCCCACACACACTATTTTATTTTATTTTGTTTTTTTCAAGATAGGGTTTCCCTGTGTAGCTTTGGAGCCTGTCCTGGAACTGACTTTGTAGACCAGAGATCCCCCTGCCTCTGCCTCTCAAGTGCTGGGATTAAAGGCGTGCACCACCAACACCCTGACAAATTTAAACTTCTTATACACATACAATGTATTTTGATCATAGTCAGTCCCCAGACATCCCTTCCAACTCCTCCAGGAGCCCCCTCCCTGTAAGTTTAAAAGAATTAACTTTTTAGTCAGCATAAAAGAGATGGGTTGTTTCATTGTGACATTGTCATAGGCGACATTGTGTCACCTGCCTCCCCTATCCCCACTCTGGCTCCCACACTTACGGGTCCCCCCAGTGTCTCTTGCTGTTTCATGTATATTGATTTCTCTCTAGTCTCCTTCCCCTCCTACTTTCATGTCCTGCACACATGAGCTCACACACACTCACACACACACCTCTCTGTACACATGAGATCTGGATTTAAATTTATAGACTTATGAATCCAGATGCCACATATGAGGGAATAAAAGAAATAATTTATCCTTTTGCATATATCTTATTTTGCTTAAGGGTGATTTCCAGTTCCTTTGTCTCGCTGCAAATGTCATGACTGAAGTTGTCTTCCCAGATTCTTAAGACCCCACTGGACATGTGGGCCACACATTGTCGGTTGATGGACACGTAGGCTGCTTCCATTCTTTTGCCTATTGGGCACGCTATGGCAATAAACATGGGTGTGCAAGCGTCTCTGTGGTGTTCTGACTAAGGCTTCTGCGGCCATCTCTCCAGGAGCGATACCACTGGGACCAGTTTGGTCTTAGGCTGTGCGTATGTCGAGAAGTGATCATCTTGGCCCTCCTCAAACTGGACAATAGCAGGGTTTCTGGAAGTTAGATAAAAGCCAGAATTCCTCAGGAACTTGTGAAGCAGGTTCCTATCTGCAAAAGGGACTTATTTCCCTTGCCTCTGGATGAAGTGACATAGGGCTCTCTGTTGACATGCACCTGTGGTGCCTCTCAGCATATCAGAGCTGGCCACCAGGTCCCTACAGTAAGCCCCAAGGCGAGCATCCTGGCCCCTCCCTCCAGTAGCTTCCCTAAACTCCCAGACCCACTCCAGCTCAGGGCTGCATCCCCCTAGCTCCTCATCCACCTTAAAACCTTCTTCCTATTGCTCTCAGCATGAGGCTCACAACGCCTGTCCCAGGGGTCAGTTGCACTCTTCTGGCCTTCGTGGCCATCAGACACACAGGGTGTAGATGCATACATGCTGGCAAAACACCCGCACACGTAAGACAAAGTTCTTCTGAGTAATTGGAATTATTGCAAGAACAGAAGTGACCAGACAGCGTAAAGCTCATGTTTATGTGTATTCATTATATAATGTATTCTGGTCATTGTCACCTCTATTGTCACTCCCCCACCCCCCTCTGGCTCCCATGGAAGCCCCCACCCCCACTCAGCACTTTTCTCCATCTTCCAGCTCTTACATTTATTCTTTCAACCTCCTAGTCTTCCAAGTTCTCTCAGAGCCTAGGACTTGCTGTCAGCTCGTGTAACTGCTGTTTAAAAGTCTATCTATTTGACTTTGTATGGGTGTTTTGCCTGCATACATGCATGGTCATTATGAGCTCGCCCTACTGGATGCCCGGGGACTGGGGCTACAGATGACTGCTTCACTATGTAAAGGCAGGGTCCCCCTTCTCACTTTCCCAGGCACTCACATTGTGCACAGAGACTTACAGGGACACACACACACACACACACACACACACACACACACGAGAAAATAAATAATTGTGGAAAAATAGGGAATCTTTGGGGCTGGAGAGATGGCTCAGAGGTTAAGAGCACTGGCTGGGCTTCCAGAGGACCTGAGTTCAATTCCCAGCACCCACATGGTGGCTCACAACCACTTGTAATAGGATCTGATGCCCTCTTCTGGCCTGCAGGCATACATGTGGACAGTGCACTCGTACCTAAAAAAAATCATTAAAAAAAAAAAAAAAGAAGATAGGGAATCTTCATTTCAGGCATCCACTCAGGAAAACCCATTCTGAGAAACCCACGGATAAGGAAATTATATTCATCATCTTCAGATGATAATCAATGATTAACCATTGAAGAACTTCCTTTCCCCATTTAAATGCCGTAAGCTAGTTGGGGCACCGGACAGGAGGCGGGGTGCGGCAGGGTGCTCACCGACCCGGCTTCCCCACGGGCACCCCTGCGGGCCTCACCTGCCGGCCCCTTTTCTCCGCAGCTCTCCGGGAGGAGGAGCCTCCCTTCGCGTCCCGGCGCTGCCAGCGGCGGCCTGCGAACAGTTCCTCACTTGTGCAGCTGGCTGAGCTCGTTGGTGTGCACGCGTGTGAGCGCCCGGGGCGGGTAGGGCGAGCGCGGGCGAGCGTGGGCCGCCAGGAGTGCTCGCGGCCGAGACTCGCGAGGAGGGAGCGTCAGGCTGCCCCGCAACCCGGGGCAGGGACACCCGCTTTCACTTTGTCGTTCCCTGGAGCCCGCTCCGTAGGTGCCCCGCGGGGGCGGGGCCGGGGCCGGGGGCGGGGCCGGGTCCCTTCCCCTCCCAGGAGCAGGGGCTGGCCCAGAGGGCGGCGG